AAGGGTCAAGCGAGTCCTGGTCCCTGCAACGCCACCTCGCTGTGAGAACTCAGCCACATCTTGTGCACGGCCACGCTCCAGGTGTTCGAGGACCCAGCAGAGTATGACACTGCCCTGGCTTCCCACACAGGCCTGCCCAGATCTAATGGTGGCTGTGTTCTTAATCATTTTCTGGAGCCAACTTCTTATGGTGTAGCCCAGGCTGGCCTTGAACTTGTGACCCTCTTGCCTCAGCCTCCCAAGCAGCTGAGGTTACAGGTGTGTACCACCGACTCTGCTGCAGGGAATGGGGTGGGGGAGGGGTGTGTGCAGCAGCCTTCAGCAGGATTTGCCTATTTCTCTCCTGCCATTCGAAGGGAGCTCCCACAGGCTTTCCCAGTGCAAGAGAAGGTGTGGGCCTAGATGAAAGCATCCCAGTAGCAGAGCTCCACAACACAGTCCAGAAACATGCTGGGTGGTGGCACGCAGAGTCACCAGGAAGCTTGCCATGACAGGCGCTCATTAGCAAGCCCGGTCCTGCCAAGGACCTTAGAGCAGCGAGGCGCCAGGGCACTGACGATCAGAAAGAAAAAGGGGAACATATGAGCAGGGAGGGCAAGCCAGAGACCAGGCAGAACACTGGCCTTCTGAACAGTTGATCTCCTGGAAGGGCATAGCAACAGACACCTATAGTCCCAGCTACTTGGGAGGCTGAGGTGGGAGGCTAACTGGAACCCAGCTTCAAGAGCGGCCTGGGCAACATGGTAAGACCCAATGCCAAAAAAAAGGACAAAACTTGGACCTAGCTCATACATCTGAGAGGAAATGGCTGAACCGATGATGGCCCCTCGCGAACTGAACACTGCATAGCCCTCGAGAAAGAGGCAGGCCAGGTGTGGTGGCACATCAGGCCCTGGATTCCATCCCCAGCATCGCCATAAGACAGAGGGAGGCCTATGTGAGTCATTTGGGAAAAAAATTGCTAAATTGTAAGGCTGGGTAAAAGCTTAATCAAAGCAAGGAAAAACCAACAAACATAGCACTTGTACGAATGTATTACACAATGGTCAAAATGATTTAAAAATGTGGAAACAGGCCAGGTATGGTGGCGCACACCTGTCATCCCAGCTCTCAGGAGGCTTAGGGAGGACTGCTGTGAGTTTGAGGCCAGCCTGGGCTACACAGTGAGTTCAAAGTCAGCCTGAACTATACAGCGAGACCCTCTCTGAAAAAAAGAAAAAGTTTGGGCCTGGGATTTAGCTCCGTGGTGCCACACCTGCCTCCTAAGCACAAGCTCCTGAGTACAACTCCCGATTCCCCCCCAAAAAAAGAGAAAGAAAAGAAAAACGTTTAAGAGGCCAGAGATTTAGCTCAATGGCACTATGCTTGCCTTATAAGCCAAGGTCCTGAGTTGGATTCCCGGTACCGCCCCCCCAAAAAAGTTTAAAAACATCTCTAGTACCATCTGTAGCCATCTCTAGGGATAGGGCTATGGGTGATCTCACTTCACATTTCTATTATTTGAAGTGTTTTAGGGTTTATACAAAGGGATTTCTGTTTCCTACCTTTTTTTTTTTTTTTTTTTTTTGGTACCAGGGATTGAACTCGGGTCCTTGTGCTTGCAAAGCAGGCAGCAGAACAACTGAACTAAATCGCCGGCCCATGAAGGGATTTCTGTAACCAGAAGAGAATGGCTTTGTTAAGTGTTTTCTGCGATCCGCCTATATAGCACAAGAACATTTCTGTGGCTAAGATCACACTAAAATACAAGTTCCAGGCAGACACAGTGACGCATACCCGCAGTCCTAGCTTTGGGACACTAACGTGGGAGGATCATTCAAGCCCAGTTCAAATCCAGCCTGGGCAATGAGTGAAACTCTGTCTCTTAAAAAAAAAAAAGAAAGAAAAAAGAAAATCAAAAAAGCCTAAGTTATTGAAGGGTTACAGCCATCATTGTAGAATCTGAGCCTTCGACAGCAAATCTTCAGACAGGACAAAATAGATCATCGGCAGGCAACAGGGGCTCCTGTAACTGCTGGGTCCTTCCTGAAGTAGCCATCACACCGGACCCAGCTCTTGACTGGATGGGGCCACAGGAAGGAGCTGCAGGCACAGCATGCAGCGGGATGGGGCTGCGGGAGTTAAACCAGCTGCTGTCTGGCCTGACACACTGACCGCGAGTCAGGCTGAAGCCTGTCACTCCCGTCAAAGGCAGAGGAAGGTGTCAGGACTGTAAGAGTAGCCTGCCAACGGTGCACCCAATGCCCAGCACAAACAAGGCTGAGGCAGGAGGGTATCTGAGTTCCAGGCCAGCCTGAGCTGCACAGCAAGACCCTGTCTCAAAAAGCCACCCCATAAAAAAAAAAAAAAAAAAAAAAAAAAACAAAAAGACAAG